TCAGTCTTTACTATGAAGGATTTTCTTTCTAGTACTGGAAGCCTATGTATATAGATTAATCACGTTTTCACAGCTGGATTTTGAATAGAGCCTCATTAAAGTGGTATAAATATACACCATATTGTTGTGTCTTTTTTTTTTTTTCTATCTGCATCAAGATCACTCTGGTATGGAAGAATGCTGTTTCATTATATCCACTCCAGCTGTGCTCTTCTTCCAAAGTCCTAGCACTTGCCAAATGTAAAACTTAGCACTTGCTCACAACAGCAGGTTAAATAAAGTTTGATTGAATAAAAGATAATATGGAGAATAGAGTAGATAAGGGAGGGGATAAAATGAACTTCATAATGAAGACAAAATTTTTGTTACAAATATTCTTCATTTCTTTGCTATTCACCAAGGGTGCTGTGGTTATTACCATAAACAAAATAGACACTTCTGAGTCTCATAAAAATGAAAGTAAAAAACCAAAATGTTTTGACCCAAATGACAGATAGCAGCAGCAAATCCCATATAACACATGGTCGTGTAAAACGGTACAGAAACAGCATGCTTTATGGTTGATATTATGCTCAGACCTCTATGAGACAGTATTTCACAATAACTGAGCTGAAAAACTCAGCTAGGGCTTATGCTTAAGTATAGGCATAAATCTGAGTGGAAAAAAAAATCAAATAATGAGCTTAGTGATGTTAAAGGCAAAATATCCCTTTGATTTCATCAGGGTCAGACTTCATTTGTGGATTCCTTGGAGGTAAAGCAGGTTTTCTGATGTTATCCAAACACAGGGCCGTGGCACAGCTGTGAAAGCAGGAATCAGTGTAGACCCCTAGTGGTCTGCAGTCCCAAAGGACCCAGTCACTGGGCTGGATGCCCCGGGGGCAGCCAGGGCACTGCTGGCAGACAGACACCTGACTGGTGGATCTGTTTTATCCTTAGAACTGTTTATACTTAGCTATACGAAGTGTGCAGCATCTCTGCGTCAAGTTCTGCACCTCACTCGGCACTTGATGAAAAGAAACAAGGTGTGAATATGTTTATGGAGTATCTTAGCCAAAATATCTGTTTTTGAGATGCTTTATAATTTGCAAGCTAGCACTTTTATCCCAGAAGTTACTGTGTAGTCTCCCGGTAGGTATAAGATTCAACAGTATTGCTACCTATATTCATGTTGCAATTTTTATGGGTATATAAAGTGTCTATAAACATTCTTTATTGATACTCTTTATTGAAAGTAGTTCCCTGATGAAATAATTTTAGTTGATTGCACTGATGTAGCTTAGAGGGAAATTAGACTTGAGATTGATTTTACATCATTGCATTTCCTCAAAGATTTTTCTTTCTTATCTAAAACAAATTGTATATTACCATTACATTTTGAAGTGAATGAGTAATTAATAAACTGGAAATTGTTATGACCACATTAAAATAAGTCTATTCCTGTAATAAGAGCAATGATTCACTGTTCGCAAGTGAGTTTAGGCCACTGACGTTAAATGCTAATTCTTCCGCAAAACCAGAGCAAGAATGATTTTCTTTGTGAGCTGCAACATAAAATTCCAGTAAATAAACCATTTAAGCAGTGTAGGAGTCCCACAAACATAAATAATTAGTGAGCCCAAGTCCCATATTGTTACAGAGGGCACTGGAGGGTATATAATCCCATCCAGAGAGTGGGGAAGTAAGGGAGAGCTTTAACTGAGGGACTGTAGAGTGCTATCCAGGAATCACCCAGTTTCGTGTGATGGAGACAAGGGTGGAGAAGGAAGGGGATGACAATCTCATTTGTCAGCGAGTTCTTCCAGGTGCAGCATGTAATATTTTTATCAAAAGCAACATGTTTTTATTCATGGGTGAACAGCTGAGCACCACTGACGTTATCTCCTGCTGCTACTAAAAAAAACCTAAAACAAAGAACTTTCAAAAAATCTGTGAAATGACTATAAGCAGAAAAAGATTATGGAAAAAACAATCTCTTGTCTATTTTCAGTTAATTTTCATGTTACATTTGATAGCACTTTTGGTATTGTCATTTTCACTTTCTCTAAATTAGTAAGTTTTCTCTCTTCTCCAGGAAAAGAAATTTATGTTGATCAGGCTCTAGTTATTTTATCTAATTTCTTTTAACTGATCATATTTCACACTCATGGCATCCTCACTAACAGATTACAGCTAAGAAAAGGGAGGAAGAGCTGTATCTATTGTCTCTTATATAGGGAGTGCAAGATATGTATCCTATTTTATTTACCTAATCTACTCTATTTTATTATTTCTATAGCAACTATTCAGCTCGGCCAAGTCAGATATGGTGATGCACTTTCTGAGCCCTTTCTAATAACCAATGGTGTGAAACAAGGCTGAGTTCTTGCACCAACTCTATTCACAATCTTTTTTAGCATGATGCTCCAAAGGGCCACGGCAGACCTCGATGAAGAAGATGGTATCTACACTTGATACTGTACCGATGGAAGCCTATTCAACCTAAGGTGACTGAAGGCCCATACTAAGACCTTAAATCATCTTGTTCATGAGCTGCTTTACACTGACGACGACGCCCTCATCGCTCACACAGAAGTAGCTCTGCAGCGTTTAACATCCTGCTTTGCAGATGCTGCTGAGCTCTTTGGGCTGGAAGTCAGCTTAAAGAAGACAGAAGTTTTCTATCAACCTGCACCTCAGGACGTCTTCCATCATCCCCACATCACCATTGGCAAACCAGAGCTCAAATCAGTCCAGCAGTTTAATTACCTAGGTAGCATCATCTCCTCGGATGGTAAGATTGACGGAGAGATAGACAACAGGTTAGCAAAGGCATATAGTGCCTTCAGAAAACTCCATAAAAGAGTTTGGCAAAATAAACATCTGAAGAAAAGTACAAAGATCAGTGTTTACAGAGCCATTGTGCTGTCTACTCTTTCATATGGGTCCAAATCATGGGTCATTTACCACCACCACCTGCAACTCCTAGAACGCTTCCATCAACGCTGTCTCCGTACAATCCTAAACATCCACTAGTCAGATTATATGACTAATAAATCTGTTCTAGAACAGGCAGCAGTTACAAGCATTGAGGCCATGTTGCTGAGAACAACGTTGGGCAGGGCACATCTCAAGGATGAAGGACCACCACCTCCCCAAGATCATGCTCTATGGTGAACTTGTCACTGGCTGCCGCAAGAGAGGAGCCCTGAAGAGAAGATACAAGGACTCCCTGAAACAACATCTCAGCCTTGGCCATATTGATCTTCATCACTGGTCTACTCTGGCCTCCAATCAGGAGGTCTGGAGACACACTATCTTATAACGCTGCTGCTTCCTTTGAGAATGCACATAGGATCACTCCAGAGGAGAAAAGACAACGCAGAAAGAATCGTGTCTTGCCGATACCATCCAAGGAGTCTTTCTGCTGTGCCTTTTGCAACCGGACTCGTCTATCTCACATTGGCCTCTTTAGCCACTACTGCACTTGTAGCAAATGTAGATAGAGCCCTTCCCAAATCTTCATTCACGAAGCCTAGCCATGATAGCAACTATTGCTACTTATTTTAGATATATCCAGTGTACGTAAGGTCAAACTTAAAGGTTGCTGATGTAACTGCAATTTCTTTCATAACAATAAGTTTCTGTACAGAATAAGTCAGTTTTGTATGCTCTGGGTGGGTTTAATTCAATTAATTTGAGATGTCAATTAATATGGGCCACGTAGGTTTTGTTATTGCAACAGTTTAATAATGCTTTCCCTTGAGTGAGAAGATGATTTTAAATTGATCACTTAGCAGTTAAGAGGTCTGTGAGTTACAACTCTGCTTCCTGCCTTCTGTGGACTAGGTGTTTTTTGGGATGCTATGGAAAATAATTTTCACATAACTGTTTTCCTCTGAATTCATGGATTTGTTGTAAATGTCACTAGTAAGAGGGAAGTGTTCTTATACTGTTGACTGAGTAGTTTCTTGGCAGACTTCTTAGCAACCCTGCATACTCTCAGTGACAGTGTTGATTTTCAGTCTTCCTATGAGATCGGGTAGGGATGGAAAGAATTGTTTTCTTTTTCCCTTTTCTATTGTTTGGAAGCATATGTTTCCAACACTGCTGATGTCATATTGGCAATGAATGTTATATTTTTGTTTTAGGAGGCAGACGCACTTCAGAAACTTTTTTACTAATTTATATAGTGAGGTTACGTTGTATTTTCTTCTATTTTTTGCTTTGGAATCCTTATAGTATAGTATGGTCCTCTAACAAAACATCACAATCAGATCACAACTTCACTCAATGGGGTTAAAGAATAAGCAATGAGAACTTTGTATGATGCCACAATCTGTGAGTGTGATGACTCATACAGAAGCTGTATGATTTTAGTAATAATATCCAAGAAGAGTATTCCACTAAACTCATGCCACTGACTCACTGTTTGATTAGATATGGCACACAACAGCTCCAGTGAAAGAGAGGTAGCCTTCAAGGATAGATTGTAAGACTCTTCTTATGACAGACCTTCAGAAATCTCTAGAAGGTAGCTGATCCTTTCTTGCAGTTTCCACTGTCATTTATACCTCATTTTTCACTGCTTCGATATTTGCTAGATCTTCCAAAATATGTGTACAATAGGTAGATGTGTCAATACCTTTCTTAGGTACACAAGTTTAAGCTAGTCATTGTTGTGATCAGCATTAGGAAGAGTTATGGTTTTCAGAAGTTATTTGTGGCTTACATACTTCTCTGAACTCTAAATCCACACATATGCATGTATGTAACCAAATAAAAACACATTACAATGCATTCTGGATTTCAAAAAGAGTGGAAGTATTGTAAGTCTGCATCTTGAAGCTGGAAACAAGTTACATTTCAAACTGGGAGTTTTAAAGGGATATTTTCATCCTTTTTTATCACAAAGTTTGAAAAACTATATTGCTTTGTATAGAGTAGACAGTATATGTTAACTTACACAGTCTCACATAGCATATTGTTAATAAAAATAGAGTAATCGAAGTACTCACAGCCACTTAAGAGTGAAATGGTATCTTGACACAAATTAGCAGACTCTGAAAACAGATTTTATTTCAGAAATTAAAATAATGAAATGCCGTTTATAATGATGAAGAGATATTAGAGATTCTAATAAGCCATCTGGTAAAACTTGCCATAATAGCATCACTTTCTAGGAAGGTAAGATTTTAGGTAATATTTTTTTGCTAGGCCTAACCTAAAAGGTATTGTAATTAAAGTGTGTTCTAAGTCTAAGTTCTGAGGGGGAAAACAGCTTGCTCACTTCCTCTCTCAGTAGCCTTTCTGAAGAGATCCATGTCTTGTCTCAGAATTCTCTTTTTTCCACTCAGCAACTACTCCATATCTTTCATGAAGAGCAGACTTCAAACTTGCACACCACTTCAACTGAGTTTTGAAGAGGAGGGAAGATTTTATGTTATGTAGACTATGACCCTCTTCATATGCTACAGGCTGTTCACCTGTAGCTCTGGAGCACAATACCACTGTTAAAATTCTTTGCACTGGCCATTATAATCCCAAAATATTTCACTTCTGACAGCTTTTCAATTCTCCATTCTGTACTACTGAAGTAGATTGTTGAAGTGATTCTTCCATTTTACTTTGTTAAATATCATAGTCTTTCAAGACTATTTTTTCCAGTTTGTCAAGATCATTTTGCATTGTTAGTCTTTCAACACGTGCAGTCCTTCCCTTATTGAACATTGTCTGCAGTTTTCTTGTCACTTATTTGCAAGTCTTCCAATTCTCTGATTTACTAATACTGTTTCTTACAACTGTAAAGTGAATATGACAAAATGATCCTGCTTCTGCTGACTACTAAGCAATTCTTTAAGTCTGAACTACAAAGTTAAAGTATATATTCTTAAAGAATATATTCTTAATCAACCCAGAACATATACACTCTTGGACATAGAAGGCAACACAGTTTTTCTTTGAGTAATATACAAGTAGAATCAAAATAGTCTAGATGATTGCATGAATAACTGATTTTTAATTTTTGCTACATATTTTTTTTCTTATAGCAAAAAAACATAAACTTTTTTTTGCAACCAAATAAAATGCCTGCTAGAATGATCCAGAACATTTAATTTGGGCATTTGGTTTGTTTATTATTCTCATGTTTGTTTGGTTTTCCTTTCATTCAAAGATGAAGTGAGAAAATGTATAATTGAAATACTTGTTTTAATTAATAATTTTTCCCCCCTTTTTTTTCCAGTTTTCTTTTTCATTACCTTTTGAAATCATCACATTTTGAAACTGCACTACTTTAAAAAAAGAAATCTTACAATGAGAGGGTTAAACACTGAAATAAGATCATCAAAAAGATTGTGAAATCTCCAACCTTAGAGACTTTCAAAACTCAGCTAGACAAGGTCCAGCACAGATGGATCCAATTTTCATCTAACCCTGCTTTGAGTAGCAGGTTGAGCTATATGACATGCAGTAATTTTATCTAACTTTAAGACAGGACATGCATATTAAAGATAAAAAAAACCAATAATTTGTCTACTTCATAAATATCTCTATCAATTGTTGCAAAATTAATAAGCTAGTATTTTTTTGCCTGGTGTGCTTGTTAAACACTCAAATAGGTATGTTTATTAGCTGAAGGCAGGATGGGTACATTTCTTGAATATCTTGCATAATGAAACAACATTGCTCGGGCAGGGGCTGATGTTCCCTGGGGCAGACATAGAGCCCTGGACCATGGGCAGGATGAGGGGAAGCCATGGCGGGGGCAGAGTCTTATCATAGCATTTCTTCTACCAAAGTGTCCTGGCATGCAGCTATTTTTTAATGGTTTCAGAAGCTGCTATTCTCAGCTCACATAGTACGATAGATGTTGCCACTAAGGTTTTATTCTTCACTAAGACGTTATTCTTCAGCTGCTCATCCTAGGAAGTCTCTGTGTGCCATGGTGTGAAAATCTACACCAACGAAGGATACAACTCTTTTGAACTCACCTGAGCCTTTTTTTAATTATTATCCAAAGCTCTTTCCCTTTTTAATGACTTCACTGTTCACCCACTTGGCTGTGTCCAGCAGGGGATTGACGCTACATTCTTGGAACAACATACTGAATTGCACATGAGTTGTCTCACCTAAGTCAGTGTCCCTGGGGTTTGCTAGAATCAGTTGAAAATAATCTGGCAAAGTTTTTCTTGTAGAAAATAGTTCAAATTCCTACCTTCCACCTTTCTTCTGCAACCAACCGTCCTGTTTGAGAGATGAGCAACAACAGATGGGAAAAACATCAGTAAATTCACTTCTAACAAATACTCTGTGGGGCAGTGTCTGTGGAACAATCTGATTTCAAACTCCAAAATTTCTTTGAAATGTACTTTATAGTCTATCTGAGCCTAAATTCACTGAGTTAAACAGCTTTTCTTTTGCTCAGGGACAGTGTCATGGTTAACTCATGATCAGCCAGATTTTCTGAAGTGAAAAGCCTTAGAGTTAAAATTTATGAAGAAAAAAAAAAGATCAACATGTAAACTATAAGCCAGAGTTTGCAGCTATATCAACACTCAATAATTCCAGTCCACTAGCTTTTCACTTTTTTTTTTCAAAGTAAATGTGTCAGCATCTCCTGATAGGGACTGTGTCTCAGAACACATTGTGGCCTCTCTGCTTTTCCAGCTTTGTTAGCCAGAAGTGACTATGGCGTGTTATCCCCTGGACCTCAGTCGAGGTGATACTTCCACAGATTTACCACCTGCAAGAGTGATTTGATTACCTTCTAGTGACTCCAGTTGCTCCAGGAAATGATTTTGTTAGGCACAGATTGCAACAGTATTAGTGGCTCATTCATTTACTGTACTGGTCATGTCTGAATACAGTTTTCTTTAAAATTCCCATGCTTCCAAAACAACACCTCTCTCAGGATGGTCCAAGGTACAAGCAGAATGTGTTTGCAGCTTGCATGTGTTGTTTCATGCTCTAATTCTACACGTGAAGAGAGAGGTTGCCTGTATTAGATCCTGTTTTCTATATGGCATTGCTGATAATGTCGTGAAATAAATTAGCTTAAATTGGCCTAGTTTGCCTATATGGTTCATACTCTTCCCACTTGGCACATTTTGCTTTCACTCAGAAAATCTGCATAATTACAAACCTTTAGCTGATCCCCACTATATTGTGAGAATTGTTGAAACCTTATTGCACATTTTGTAGCTCTAGTAAATGCAGTAAGTAGAAGTCTAGATCCACTAAAGCCAGTGGAAACACTAGCACAAGGTCAATAAGACCAGATTACCTTCAATGAAACAGTTCTTTCCCTTCTTTTATGCATCCTCAAATCATTATCTCTGCACAGTTATTTGGGGAAGATAAACAAGTTGCTCCATAGCAAGAGCAGAATTCTGAAACAGCTCACTGGATCCATTAGGTTACTGTGCTTAATTCTAGGTCTTGACTCCTGATTGTGTGCAAGGTTCAAGATATATGCAAGGTTCCATCCAGGTTCCAATCAGGTACTTGCCTTTTCAAGAAAATCTGGACATCACTGAGAGAGAAATTTGTTCCAGTGTCCATTTGCTACAGCCAACACGAATACCAGCAAGTCTGAACTGATTAACTGATGGAAAACGCTCCGTCCCCACCATGGCATAGCAAAGGTGCTACAGAAGCAGCCACCATGTACTCTCTGGCTAAGAAGGCAACAACCCATTTTTTAGCAAGGACGTTTCAATGAAATTTTGTGATTATTTCAGTAATTTGCATAATTTCACTACTATTATCCAAAAATAATTCCCAAAGAATTTGAAGTCAGCTTCAATAAAATAGAAAGAAGAAATTGTGATTGCAATTACATTGAGATATGTTGTTTGAATCAGTAAGATATGACATAACAATTCACTCTCAAAAAAATGAAATAGAATTGCTCATGAAGAGACACAGATACATTGAATAAAAAAAACCCTGAACCAACAGAGGCAAACCCACAAGATTTTTCCCCCCACTCTTTTTAGTGAAGTCAGAAGGGAATTTTTGTTTTCCTACAGGATCACTATGAGTTTTAGATTCTAGAATCTTTTTTTTCCTCCCAATATTACACTCTATATAGGAATAAAATATTCAATATAAGAAGTAATAGTGTGCTTAGTGCAATAGCAGTAGAGTAATAGCTTCTTTAAAAGGACAGGAGCAGAGGATTTCTAGAAGAGCAGAAAAAGTTTGAGAGGGAAATAGTAAGAAAATTATAACTTTTTATTTCATACTATCAGGAGCTAACAGGTAAAAATAAAATTACACAGATAGGAAACATTATAAAAGGTAATTACCTCTGCTGTTAATAAAGCAACTGTTGTCCTGCTATCTCCTTTGTGTGAACCTGCAGGCTAGCCAGATCAGATCAATGACTCTCAGCAGGGTTAGAGGAGCTGTGTAGCTTCATTAACTCTTTGGAAGAAGAATCTGAACACTGAAAAAGAGATATATTAAGTGAGATACTCTTTTTCCCTTTTTTTTGATTCCTTTGAACTCTTAGGACCAATCCCTGTACTTAAGTCAGAAGAAATGTAAGATTTCAAGTAAATTAAATTAATGTAACGTCTTTAAAACAACAGAAAGCAGGGTACTTGTTTATAAATGTAGAATCTCTAGTGTCTAATGGAATACACATACACATATCTTAACGTGTTTTTGATAAAGAGAAATCCAGACACTGGATCAGTACTAATTATGTAAAATCAGAATCTACCACAAACTCATTTTATCCTATTAGAAATCTTGATTTACAAACAACTCACAAACATATAATTTTAGTATTCACTCAGTGCTTCATTTCAGAAAGGCTCATTTGCTATTTTTGAGCAATTGTCCTACCTCCTGTTTCTTCTTTAGCCTCAGGAATTTTAGAAATATGTAATGGCAAACTCAGGAAATCCAGTGCACATCTGATCAATAAAAATTTTACTCACTTTTACTCAAGCTGCCATCTGTTAGATAGGATGCAGTAACAAAAAAAAAAAAGAGAGAGAGAGAAGAAATTAAACATTTCACTGGTAAAATTGCAATGTTGTCTTGAATAATTAAAATAGAATATCTCAGAAGGCAAAGTTTTCCTAGAACTGGCACAGACTTATTTGAATAATGCCCTGGAATAAAAAGGTTAAATGTACATCAGTGATATGTAATGAATATCATATAATACTGATCATGCTGCTTTTCCTGTCTCTCTCTCTAAAAGATTATGACATGTTGAAGTTATCAAAATAGATGTGTTTACATAAAACTGACAGTGATATGTAGTAGAGGTTAAAGCTCTCTGAAGATTATATAAAAATAGAAGAGAAGGTATACTTCACAGAGTCCCAGAAGGATCATGGTTTTTTTTATTAAAAAAAAAAAGAAGAAAAAATCGAGACCATTGTAAACAAGATTTCTCCATGAAATGAAATTAAGTATGGCAAAGTGGTTCTCCAATAACTGTGCAAATTAAATTAAATTAAATTAACATTGTTAACTCTACCAATTCTTAAAGAATAAGCAGTTAGAAGTCAAGATCTAAAATGCATCTTCTAATTGTTTATTAAACTTTAACATTTACATACTCATTATGAAAATATCAAATGTGAGAGAGATATATTTAATTAATCATGTATGATTAATTAACTTATAGTTGTAAGTAACCTACCACCAATGACTAACCAGAAATATAACTCAGATGAAGCTTTTTTTGCAGTCATGTCTAGCACCTTTGTAACATATGTTTTCAGTGACTTAGCATTCATTTAATTACGTAGTGTAGTGTGTTTCTTTGTTCCAAGATAGATTTAAAGTTAACTCAGAAAAAAGACTAAGTGATCCTTTGCTTCCCATGCTAATGGTCACCTGCAGGTGGGGAGTAACAGCTTTCTGGTAACTGCAAAAAGCAACTTCCTCACCTCTCTCTCTCTCGCCCTGAACAGAACCTGTACATCCTTAAACTTGGTATGCGGGGGTTTTTTTGTATAAAAGATAATAATGTTTACTAATCTTTCTGAGATATTTTTGAGGTTAATGGAAGAAAAATCATGTCCAAGATTAAAGCTTTAGGATTTAATAAAGTCTATGACAAATAAAGAACAAACAATTGTACAGAAATATTATTCAGGCAGCCCATCAGTCAGTTTTACAGCTGTCTTAAGTAAGGATGAATGGCATATTGGCAATGCTGAGATATTTTAGTACCCTTTTCCTATGTGGACTCTTCCAGCACTTTCTGTCCACCAGGTATGCAAACACTGTGGGTGTCCAACTTCTCCCAGCCAGCAGGAAGGACAAGAGCAGTATCTGATAGGGCCTGAAGACACCTCCTTCTATGCTGCACCCACTTAGAGGGCATCCTGCAGCAAGTGTCTTTCTCACTCCACCTGCGATGGTGCCGTATTTAATAGTGTGGCTGTGACCTTCTCTGTCATCACATTTCAAATATTTGTGTTTCGAACATGACAATGTGAAACTTCAGTTAACTATTTTCTATAATTTTGTTATCTGACTCCTTTCAATTTTTAAAGAACAAATAAAACTGGTTATTGCTAGAAGCTGTTGTTAAGATGAAGGCTACTTCAATTTTATTGTCAGAATTTTGGGGGTGGAAGGAGATTTGACACACGCACACACATTCACAAGGGAAATGCATATACAGTCAGAGAACAGATGGGGGAAATCTTATGCTTCATTGAGGTTGGTGCTCCCTTCGCTACTTAAAGAATGTTCCTCCTGAGAATCACAGCTAGAGTTTGTTTTAGGTTTTGTCCTCAAACTGTAACAGAATTTAAAGTATAGTTTTGACCTAAAAGTTGTGAGCTGAATTGCCATAATTTTTTATAATAAAGGAAATGAAAACTTTTAAGGTAATGTTAGTGGAGGTTCTCACATTAAAAATTAAAAAAAAAAAAGTATTCTTGTGTTGATTTTACAATTTTTGATGTATGCTACACAGCTTTACTTTCATGCTTCTGGAAATAACAAAAGTTTGTGTAATGCTAAGAGCCAAAATATTGCACAAAACCCCAATTCAATTGTTCTTTTTTTCCCAGAAAAATAATCTGGCTAATTTCAAACATAATTTTGGTTGGGAAAGCAGCTCAGAATTTGTCATAAATGTTATATACTTGTTCAGACCAAAATTGCAAACCTTTAAAAATCATTTTTCATAATACCTTTACTGTCAATGTCTTTGCTAGAGTTTCAGGCAAAATTTCACAGTGACACACAGGTGAAACAACAACACAGCAATACATACAATGTTGATGGATATTCAGAAATGACTGTGCATTAAGACATAATGTATGTTCTCACAGTAAAAACTTCAGGTATCAAGAATATTGAAACTGACCAGCAGTGGACCTTTTAATAGTACAGAGGAAATAATGTGTTGGAACATGATGATATTGTCTCATATTCTGTATATTTTAAGGCTGCAGCTTTCTCATGTGGTAAAGTAATCAATCCCACATGCACTATAAATGTCAATTACTATATATGAAAGTTAATGTAAATTTGCCCTCTTGAAACAAGAAAACAATATTCTGTAAACCTGGAGAAAGGCCACCATACCGTACAAAAATGTTTTCAACAGTTAAGCAGGAAAAAGCTATCAACAAAAGCAAGAATTATGATCATTTAAGCTGTTACAAAAAGATTAACAACAGTCCTTCCTTGCCATATGCATGTAGATAAAAGTTATTTTTACTGTACATATTGACATTCATCACCTTACAATTTCCCATGTACATGAATAATTATAATCAGGCAAGAACTAAGAGTATTTTAAAAAATTATGCATATACCTAAGATTTTGCAGCACATTATTTTTTCCCCTGAAGTTGTACAGCAACATTTTGAAAAAATAATAGTTTTAACTCTGAATTGTTGCTACTATATCTTTTGACAACTTGTTTCAAAGGTTTCTTGGTTTTATTATGAATATTTAAGCTAATACAACTAATTTCTAAGCATATTTTTCAGTGATCTCTCTTTCCATTTCTTTAGTAATCCCAATAAAAAACTATTTCCAGCATGATACTTAAAGAATCAGTTAAGATCTATTCAAGTGTTCCTTAGAGCATTTCCAAAATATACACCTTGTCACATCAGGTGAGGCTTTGAACCAGGTTTTCTCACTGTCTAATAATTGAGCTCTCTCTCTTGGGTTAAAAGAGCCCTTGACAGGATATAGAAAGAATGGGCAGCCCAAGAAGATCTAAGAGGCTGCTGGTAAGCGCACTCCACTGTGGTGAGTCTCAAACTCATGTCTTAACCAGGTCAGGACTGTGAATCTACTTACATCACTTTCTAAATGAGTGTCCCATTCTTTGAGCTGTGAGTTACCAGGAGGTTCCCTCCATCTCACTCTGTCTGGTCCTCATGATCAGCAGTTTCAGCTTAGACTTGAGAAACCTTTATGAACAAAATTTTTACTAAAAAAAAGCTTGTTCTTAAAAAAACAATCCAGCCCAACCCCACCCAAAAAACCCCCAAAACATCAGTTCCAATCAACATACTTCGTCAAAAAAAAAAAAAATCTCACCCCACTTAAGAGGACAAAAAGTAGATATATTATTCACTCACATTGATTTTGTCAAGCTATGAGGCAGTAAGTCAGATTGGCATCCACCTATTGTTTTAAACAGGAACCAGATAGTCCAGTTTTCTGGAACATGGTATCAAGCTCACATTATTCATGTACTTTGCTTTCAGAGTTGACTTGAGGTCATTAAAAGCTTGGAAAATGCTAAAGAACTTCAATCAAATTACCATTATGACTACTAAAATTTTTAATGAGTTAAAAAACTTGGTAAGTTTGGACTCGATCCATGGCCTTCACAAAGTTGGCTTAGGCTATAAATAGCCAGTGGGTTCAGTTCATCTTCCAAAAGGAAAAGGTGAACCAGGGATTTTCTGCAATTTACAAAAGGTGATTGAATATGCTTCAAGATTAGCCCAAAGAAGAACCGTTGAATTTGCCCTTAAACAGAAGTGGTACTCATTGAAATGATGACATTTCTACGTGAGAATAAATCTTGGGGAAAGAAAGTACGTTAAAGACTACTTAACATAATTGTTCTCTCCAGGACATCCCACAACAAAACTCACCAGGTGGTGTGTGGCGGGACTCTGGGACATATAATTTTTTTGTTCTTACATGCCTCACAAAGGAACGGCTATTGGCCACTGTGAGAGACACAGCACTGGAATGGACTTGTTCTTATCCAGCAGAGCCTTTATTTTATTCATTTGTCCTACCAGCTGTTAGTACAGGAATATCATATTGTCTTTATTAATCAATTATATTTACCCTTTTGCAAACCAAGAAACGTAACCTACATAGCAAAAAGACGAGCAGAATTTCAATGTTGAATAATGACGGTATCATATAGTGCAAGTGGTGTCCACTCCATAGCATGAAACAGATTTCTAGTTTATTTATAAATGAAGTAGACAGCCACAAACTCTAATAAGGGGAAAAGATAACCACTCCTGAAAAGTAGGGTGGCAGAGCATAAATTCCTGGGATGGTCTCAAAATCAAGAAGGAAAGCAGTATGTAAGCTTACTTGACTTTTTGCTTTCCTTCAATGAGAAGGTTCAAGCTTCAAGCAAACTGCATCTTCAGTTTGCTTGGAGCCCGTAGGTAGAACCAGAACTGTCAGCCACTGGAAAGAGGTGGAGTTCCCATCTGTGAGAACACCTACAGAAAGGCCAACCTACAACCACTTTCCTAAAGTAAAAATGGGGATAAACAGAGGGTGAGGAAAAACACACAATTCCTCTTACTCCAAAGTTGCATTCCATCAGGAATCAAATTCATGGATGTCAGTTTTCCTTAGTCTGGATGATTCTCCTGCCTTAAGGGAGGGTAAGAAATGGATGTCTTGTTGGCATCCTTGATAGGGTTTCCTATTCTTCCTTACACTGGGATAGATTCTAATAAACTTTTCAAACTGTAGTCAAAATAGAAATCCAAAAGAAGATAGCACTTTATCAGTATTTATCACAGAAAATAAAGTGTGAAGGAAATGTCTCTAGAAGGAACAAAAATGAGGACTCAGTGTATATCCTGAGTATACACAGTATGTCTGGACATCTTAAATGCAGAATCTGGTAAACATGCAGTATACTTCAGTTCCCAGCCTTTAGCAAAGAAGACAGAACTTTTTTACACTAAAACTGTCAGTATCTCTGAGGGTTGAGTTTGTTGTTTATTTGAAAACAGAAAAATTCTTGAATACACCAGGGCTGAAGGTTCAGGTATGTCTGAAGTATTTTAATCTGGAATAACTTGTCTTTTTTTTTATGTCTTCTAGTATCAAATTAAAAAATAATTTAAATGGAGAAAGCAATTACTAAGAAACACAAATTCAATCTCGTGGACACCGAACGGCTTCTGCTATTTTTTTCTGTGACAGCCCAGAGTTCAGCATTTGCCACCCATGTGGTATTAATTAACACATTTGTGTGTTTCCTCCACTATCATAGAATCATAGAATCATTAAAGCTGGAAAAGACCTTTAAGATCACCAAGATCAATCCTTGACCTAGCAGAGGTAGCAAAGAGATCCAGCTGAGAATGATATGTGAGTTGTGATTATTGCACTGGATTACACAGATGTACTTAAAAAATAGAATCTCTGCAGGTGTTTCATTTAAGAACCTTAAACTAAGAATTCGTGTTTAAGAAATTAAAAGAGGGAGATTTAAAATGAAAGAGGGTTTATAATTTCTCTCTTCTAATTCCTGCTTCGTTAGGAGGGTTAGGCTACCCTTCTGCCTTTTGTGTCATAGAAGTCTATGTTTGTCTAATTGTATTTGTCTAGTAGCCTTTTTAATAGAAAACCAGAAAGTTACAACCACAAATGTATTTTGTGACATTATTTATCATTATTTCTTTATTTTGTCCTTTTAATACGTTTAAATGGTACATTTTAGAGGGGACGACTGGATTTCAGACATTCCACAGGCTATAAAAAGGACATAAGGTATAATTGCAAATGAGGTACACTTGAGACTGCAGTCTTAGAAACAAACATTGCAAACATTATCTTGGTATTGAAGTGTTGAAACAGATGCTATTTTATAGTCATATTCTTTGAGAATGAGGATTATAGCCTTGTCTGTGTATTGATATATGAAATTCAAAGGTTTGCAAAGTAAAGCAGGTCAGATCATAGAACCATTTGGTTGGAACATCTTCAACTAGATCAGATTGTTCAGAGCCTGTCCAACCTGACCTTGAATGTTTCCAGGGAAGGGGCATCTACCAGCTCTTTGGACAACCTGTTCTAGTGTTTCATCACCCTCATTGTAAAAAATTTCTTCCTTATATCAAGTATGAATTGACCCTCTTCTAATTTAAAACCATTACTCCATCACAACAGGCCCTGCTAAATAGTCTATCTCCATCTTTTCTGTAAGCCCCCTTTAGGTACCGGAAGGCTGCTCTAAAGTCTCCCCAGAGCCTACTCTTCTCCAGGCTGAACAGCCCAAACTCTCTCAGTCTCTTCACAGTAGAGATTCTCCAACCCTGATCATTTTTGTTATCCTCCTCTGTACCCACTCTAACAGGTCTAATTTTATTACCTATTATCAATTTCTCTTTTTTTCCCCCCATTATTTGGAATATTAGCCACATAGATTTGTTCTCAGTTTCCTCACACTTTACCATTTATAGTTCCATCCCAACCGCTAAGAGTGTACTATCATATTGGAGCTAGGCTACAACTGTTCTCACACTATTTGGGAACCTTTCATCTTTTGTTCCCACACTACAGTTTGGGAAATCATAACTAAAGTTCATAGGTCGCATAATGTGCAATGTTTAAAAGACATGAGATGTCCTGAAATCTTGCTGTAGTGCAGCATTTATCAATATTTTCAAGCTGCAAATCTCATATCAGAGGAAAATATTAAGTATTCAGAAAAGTCAGAGAAAAAAGGGAATATTCCCAGTGGCTGCCCTCTGGTTTCTACTGTCTTTTGTATCTTCTCAGTGTCCATCCTTTCCTTATAGATATCTGTACCAATGCTGTGGCAAATTATTTCTGTTTATGGTTATTTTTTCACATTAGAATTATAATATTGTTCTAATAACTTACTGCTAGTTCTTTCCAGACAGTTTCCAAGGTTAACTGAAGTGCTGCTTGGGGAAGGGAATTGCTGGCATCACTTTAAGGTTGGTCAATCAATACAAACTTGCAAAGTGAAATACATTTGATACATTACCCCTCTGCCTAACCAAGAGAGAACTAAAAAAAATTAGTGTGGGAGATCACACCAAGACTAATACAAACAAAAGAAAGTTACAAATGGTTTTAAAAAGTACTGGTCCATACTGTCAGCCTATGGCCTATACTCCTTGACTATCCAAACTGCTTATATGTTGGCTCTCACACTGCCTAACAGGAATGAATTTAGGCCCAGCAAGAGACCAGCTTAAATTCAAACCCTTCTAGTTAAGAAATTTGAGCCACAGGGTATAAAGAACTGAGACAAACATAATGAGCTAAACCACGCCATAAATACCTGCTTTAAAGTAATAAGGGCAAAACTCATCCACTATGATTAAATAGGTCCATGAAAAAACATTCTTGCAGCAGCATGGCTGCTACTGCAGCTATTTGTTAGCCCATACCATCTGCTCCTTTATATCCTTCTTTATAGCTCTGACTTTCAGTGAGATGTGATTACCTCACATCTTTATTATATAAAAAGAACTGTTTGCTAGTTCAGTGTTCAGGGGAAAAAAAAAGTTTTTGTCAGTTACTCATCAATTTGCTCATCTGTTTGTCCTATGCAACATGATGATTTCAAGTCTGCTGACACTGTTACCCAAGGGAGTATGATTCATGCAATAATTTTCCTTCCTTCCTGCCTATTTCTTTTAAATTTACTGGAACTTTGATATATCCCATATATATTTTTCACCTTAAACTATTCTACCCCTACTAGCACTAC